TCCCCAGAGTTCTGGGAATGCTTCTGTCAACACAACACGATGGTTCCAGCTGCCTGCCATGAGTAAGCCAATTCACGAGACAGGTGTGGGGGAAGGAGAGCTTCGCTGAATACGATATTCAAGGGGACAGAGTGGATACGGCCCAACAAAGAGCTGTTTCCCCGAAAGGAGAGAAGGGGAGAGATTTTATACGTTAGGAAAGGGGCAGGAAATAATCTTGTAACTTGAGTTAATAAATAGCATGTCTTTTTCTTCTGTTCCTTCTGCTCGGGTGGCACGTGGCTGGCACACTGTGCATGGTGATCGTAGGATGGAAGGACTGGTCTGACTTTCCTCAAGACTCAAACGAGGACATTTCAGTTGACTTCGTCTGCAGCAGACATTCCTGTTCTTCTGGCCTAACATTACAAACAAATCATTTGGTGTCCTTCTTACTAAAGAAACTACAAGTGATACTCATCATAAAAATGCTAATAATTCTTAGCCCACTCTTCACTTATTTCGTTGACTCTACCTCCCCTTAGATCATTTCAATAGAAGTTACCTTAAACTCTAACTTTAAGAAAATAAATGAGAACAACAGAAGCTAGTTAATTTACCACAAACTCCAATCCAAACCACAAAGCTAGGCTCCAAAGGCAAGCAAAATGCACGGAGCCCTAGCAGTTTCCTGAGGCTTGTGCACGATCAGTTCGGATACATTATTGGTTCTCAACCTTCCTAATACCGAGACCCTTGGATACAGTTCCTCATGTTGTGGTGACCCCTGCCAACCATAAAATTATTTTCGTTGCTACTTCATAACTGTTATTTTGCTACTATTATGAATCGGGCGACCACTATGAAAGGGTTGTTCGACCCCCCAAAGGGGCCGCGACCTACTGCACTAGGGCTTATAAGAAGAGCAGGGTCTGGCGATTGCCTATTTGACATCCAGAAAAACAGACTTTCGAACTTATGAAGACCTAGTTCTGGGTGGCTGGGGGGCTGAGAGACCTGTGCAGGCCACAGTCTGCGGTCAGAGTCCTTCTGGTAAGACCTGAACTAACCATGTGTGGTTTGAGCCAGAGACAGTGCCACTGGTTGGCTGGTATTAGAGATAAATATGGGAAAGCATGGCTAATAACAATCTTCATATTTTGGGAATCAGTCCATTATGTTGCTATTTTTAAAGTTTGTGTGTGTATGTGAATTCAGTGAAGGTTTACATATCAAAACAGCACGTTCACATCCCAAAATGCAAACACATTTTGTTTCACCTCAGTGATTGCAATTCCCTCAATGTAACATCACTTATCCCACTTCCTCTTCATGTTTCCTGATTTATTCTGTACTCAACTACTCTTGTCGCAGTGGCAGGAGAATCACATTAATGGGGAACTTAGACCACAATAACAAACACAACTCAAGACCCTCAAAGTAGCCCACCCTTTCTTTTTTGCCACTCTGAAGTCTCCAGCATTCTCACTCTTGATTCGCTTCCACCAGCTGTGCAGAGGAATACAGGCAGAGCCCTTGTTTCGTCACTCCTTGGTCTCCCTGGGAGTTGTCAAGTTATCTTGGGGTTCCGAGAACCATCTACATGCTGGTGAACTGCAAATCCTTACACCTGGTCCCTTCCCTCAACTTCAGATTCATCTACTCAGGGGCCTGTTGGGCCCCTCCACTTGAGTTGAGATTCGTGAGACATCTCATTGAGTAGGTTCAACTCTAAACTCTTCATTTCCCCTCAATCTTCTACTTGATCACTTGTCTTACCCAGTGGAGCCAGGCTGGGGACCTAGGTCCCTCCTTTCTAGGTTTTCTTTTCTTCCTCAATCTTCCTTCCCAATAATCACCAAATCTTGCCATTGGACCTTTTTAAACGTCTCATTCTTTCTTCATCCTCACTTCTCCTACCAGGGCGATTGGAACAACTACCTAGTGGATTGGCCTACTTGTCTTCCGTTTACCTTTGAGTCTGTTCTCGCTCCTGCATCATCTTTCAGGGCTTCCCTCTCTTTGAGTTCTAAGCTCTCCGGGGTCTGGTCCCTGTTTACAACCACTAACTCATCTATAGGTTCTTATCTATACATCCTAGGCTCTAGCCAATCTGTGATTCTCTGAACTCTTTATTCCCTCATCCAGATCCCTCTACCCAACTTAGCATGTGGTTCACTAGCTCCAGGTAAACTTTCCTAATGCCACTGGCTGAACAGTGTTCCTTCTCTCTGATCCTTTGCCTCTCCTGGCTGATGCCAGTCACACCCAACTATGTATCTGCCCACCCAGAAGGCTACCTTTGTAGCCATAACCTGTGCTTCAGGTGCCATTGAGTCTTTCTGACTCGTGGCCACCCAATAAATAGAAGGAAACACTGCCAGCCTCACAGGTTGAGGTAGTTTATTGTGCCAACCTGGCTGATACACATATGTGGGGTTCATTGAAGGACGGAGGGATAAATGGCTCAGTGAGACTCGCCTTTCTAGTTCTCGGGTCTCTTGCTCTGATGGTCGGACCAGGGTGCAGCTGCCTTAGCCAGTCCCCTGCTTTAGCTGGCAAGGCTCACTTCCTTCCTCCTCATCCCTTAGAACTGGTGCCTAGTGTGCATGGTGGAGTGGAGCAAACGGAGAGCATGGCAGTGTGGACCCTCAGATTCTCTCCCACAAGCAATGCCTCAGCTTCTGTCTGTCTTAGTCAAGTGATGGTGGAAAGGAGCAAGCACGATCCTCCTTCAGAGCACTTCTTACGTCTCACTGCCTAGAATGCTCATGCTCAGAT